GGGAAGCCGTGCAGCCGCCATTTCGGGGGGGAGCCTGAGGGGAAGGGGGGGAGGTTCATGGCCATCGGGGCGGGCCGCCCGGCAGGCGCCGGGTTTGCCTGGAGGGCCCACGCCGCTTCTCGCCTCAGCCTGACGGGTGGCGGTCACCGCGCCTCAGCGAGCGCCGCCGGCCGGCTGGCAGCTTGAGGCCTACCTGCCGCCCTCCCTCCTCCTCCCCGGTCTGCCTTCCGTCAAACGCCTCAGACCAAATAAAAAAAAATACGGCTTTTTTATTTCTCCTTAACAGCCTCACAGGGCTGCAGAAAGGAACGGCGGTCTCTTTTTTTTTTTTTTTTTTTTTTTTTTTAAAAAAAAAAAATTTTTTTTTTTTTTCTTTCTTTCTGAGTCAGCAGCAGCTGGGATTTAGTGGCAGGTTGTGTTTGCCGCTGCCACAGGCACAAAGGCAGTTGCGAGTGGGGAGGGGTTGCCCTCGCTCCACCTTATGATTTATTCCAGCTTCTCCCATCCTTTGCCATACCAAGGGGAACAAGTCTTTTTAGAGCAGAGTCTTATGACTTTTAGAGCAGTTTTATGAGGAGAGGCTGAGGGGAACTGGGGTTGTTCAGCCTGGAGAAAAGGAGGCTGAGGGGAGACCTTATTGCTCTCTACAGCTCCCTGAAAGGAGGGTGTAGAGAGGTGGGGATTGGTCTCTTCTCCCAACTCACAGGCGATAGGACAAGAAGAACCAGCCTCAAGTTGCGCCAGGGGAGGTTTAAATTGGATATTGGGAAAAATTTCTACACCAAAAGGGTTATCACTAAGCACTGGAACAGACTGCCCAGGGAAGTGGTGGAATCCTTATCCCTGGAGGTATTTAAAAGATGGGTAGATGTAGTGCTTAGGGACATGGTGTTGTGGTGGGTTTTGTCAGTGTTAGGTTGATGGTTGGACTCGATCCGAAAGGTCCCTTCCAACCGAGACAATCCTATGATTCTAAGGGGAGCTGGAAGTAGGGGTACTCCCAGCTGGTAGCATGGAACCTAAGGGACATGGGAAGGGAGTGCTGTTCATTTACTGTTGGTTACACAACAGAGTTTGCCGTGGGAGACACTGCTGTCTGCTGGAGATTTTCTGTGCTGCTCCAACTGACGTGCACTAAGGTGACAAATCATTTTTCCTTTGCAATAGTTGCATCTATGGCAAGAGGTTTCGTTGGCAAAGTTGTAACCTTAAGGAGTGATTTTTATATTTTTTTCCCATGTTTCCAGTAAATCGGCAGAACAACATCCCTGCTTTTCAAAATGTCCATTGAGTGTTGTTACATCAGGTTTCCTAGTATTATGAAATACTTGTACTACAGGAAAAAGTCCCTATTTTAGTCTGATTAAAAAAAAACAACAACAAAACACTAGTCTCCCTTTTCCAGTTCAATCTGAAATAGCCCTCAGGATGAGAACTGTATGGGATAAGCACCCTCTATGCTTACCCACATTCCTAGCAATATTGCCAGCCCTCCCCAGCTGCAGGGGAGCGCTGCCAGATAAACAAACACCGGTCAAACTTATGGGTATGGTCAGCGTTCCTGAAAATGGCGTGAGGGTGTGTGGGATTTGCAAGTGGAAAACTGACTGTATGGGAGTCAGAAGAAAGAAACAGTGAATTAAACAGTTCAATTGCCAAGAAACAGGGTGGCTCTGGCAAAGAACTGCTGGTTCCATCCAGTTTGTAGAGTTGTTTGACCAGACCAAACTATCTCTGCCACCGTTCTGCTCACATCAGTTTTTCTAGTACTCATATGCTTATCTTTAACTTTATGAACCAATCAATAAAACTCCTATCTGAATTCAGTCATAGAAATTCATATTTCCTCTAATTTTACATTCCACTAATCTTACCAGGTATTCTGTTTATTTTTAATTCACATTCTGTTGAAACATTGCAATATGCGAGATTTTGAAGCCCTAGGAGTTTATCATAGAATCATAGAGTTGTCCAGGCCAGAAGGGACCTCCAAAGGTCATCTAGTCCGACCTCCCCGCAGTCAGCAGGGACACCCCCAACTAGACCAGGTTGCCCAGGGCCTCGTCGAGCCTCACCTTGAATATCTCCAGGGATGGGGCCTCAATCACCTCCCTGGGCAACCTGTTCCAGTGCTCCACCACCCTCACAGTGAAGAACCCTCTCCTAATCTCCAGTCTAAATCTGTTCCCCTCCAGCTTGAAGCCATTGCCCCTCGTCCTGTCACTGCAGGCCTTTCTAAACAGGCTCTCCCCAGCCTTCCTGTAGGCTCCCTTCAGGTACTGGAAGGCTGCTATTAGGTCTCCCCGGAGCCTCCTCTTCTTCTGAACAACCCCAGCTCCCTCAGCCTGTCCTCGTAGCAGAGGTGCTCCATCCCCCTGATCATCCTTGTGGCCCTCCTCTGGACCCTCTCCATCAGGTCCATGTCCTTCTTATATTGAGGGCTCCAGACCTGCACACAGTGCTACAGGTGAGGTCTCACCACAGCAGAGTAAAGTGGCAGAATCACCTCTCTGGACCTGCTGGCAACACTTCTATTGATGCAGCCCAGGATGCGATTAGCCTTCTGGGCCAAGGGTTGTGTTACAGCAGCTACAAGGACCTTTGCAATGAATGGCACCCCACAGTTGCGTTCAGAAGCTTTGGGTTGTCTGTAACGTATTGGGAAGTGACAGAAAAGGAGGAATTTATTGGATTTCCTTCCTCCTAAATCCATTCTTGGATTTAGCTGAACTTTCATTTGAGCTGTAAAACCATATTTCAAACAATACCCACAGTACATTGGGTGCATTCCGGTCTGTTCAGAAGTGATTCACAAATCACACGTGCCCCATCAGAGACCCACACTGATTAATCACAACATCCTTTTTCTCAGTGTATTTTGGTTATTTATGGTGATCGTCTAAATGATCACGTATTATAATGATTATATATCGTAATAAACGATTATATATTATAATAATATAAAAACACTCCAGGGTAAATACAGAAAAATGTTTTTCCACTTGATTTATTTTCATAATAAACCAATTAAAAATACAAAAGACAAGGACCCAAGGTTCAGAGGGCTCCATCATTTAAAAATTTGTCTTTAAATACAAATTCACTCTGTAATATGAATACATATAACATTAGACCTCTAAACATAATGATCTTATTTGCATCTATCAAAAATTTGTATGGAAACAAATTAGCTGAAAAAAAACTTCCTTGTGACATTGAATGTACATTATTTACAATCAAAAAAAGAACTCTTAGCAGTATTAATCTCCAAATATCTGCATAAATTTATATTTCATTTCCCTCCCCCCTTACAAAATAATCTGAAGTAGAAAGCAAGATTGTTAAGGTTCATAGTTGCAAAATGGCATGAAACGCTTGCACCTGTAGTGATGCTGTTAGCTTCTGTAATTAAATACATCTGATGTTTTCGTATAAAATATAGACATGGCGTTGTCCATTACTGGAATAAATGTTTCTTGTACTCTCAATAGGAGTGTATATTCCATTTTGCACACACAAAGAGCTTGTGCTGCAAAAAAAACAATATGCAAGAGGATACCTGGTTATCAAAGTCTAAAACTGGTGTAATTCACCAGTACGGAACAGATACTGGATCATAAAAATTCCTACACATGGAATGAAAATGTCCCACTAAAAGTAACTGTTGCTTCAAAAGTTAAGTGATACACGTACGGATTAAACAGAAAAAGGTTATAATAACGTTACTGCAATGTAAATGGGCAACAGGCTGAAAAGATACAGTAAGAAGTTTGAAACTTTGGCCAACAACCTCAGGAGAAAGTCTTCATAGCATAAAAAGCATGTTCCTTCATGCCTGTATTTTGAAACATGAGTAATAATATCATTTCATTCGTATGATAACATTTAGCAATTAATAGAAAATCAAAATCCATTCTAAAGCATGAATTCTAACAATTAACTGCAGAAATTAAGTAGCT